TTCACAGCCGACAGAAGACGTCACGATGCAACGAAGATCCTCCTCCTCCGCCGCTACGTAATCGAAAGCACCCGCTGCAAGATGAAAAGGGCCTTGACATCGAACCTTCACAGCCGACAGAAGACGTCACGATGCAACGTGGAAGCAGCGGAGCAAATAGACGTATACATGATTCGACCCCACGACCCAACCGCAACGCACAACATTGAACCAGTGACCCCGACATGATATTCGACGACTACCTCGTCACTGCTCTTGTAGATAATGGAACCGACTATTCCGCCGGCAGTAGACTTTTTGCGACAATGTTGAAGGAAGTGAGAACTGTACGGCAAGGCCCTGAAATTCGGACCCCTGGAGGTCACTTAATAACGCCGACTGGAGTCTGCACAGCAAGAGTCACCATTAATAACCATATTTATCCTACGAGCTTTGTAATCTTACAAAATTGCGCCAGGGATCATGCCAGATGGCCTCTTCGAGTTTAAGGTCATGCCATTTGGTCTTTGCTCAGCGCCTGCGACGTTCCAGTGCATTATGGACGCTGCACTGGCTGGATTTAAGTGGCAGACTTGCCTCGTGTACTTGGATAACATGTTTTGGATAACATGTGCTTGGATAACAAGTCCTTGTCTTCGACGAGCATCTCTGGAGCCTTGAAGAGGTACTTCAAGCTATCAATACCTTTGGACTAACACTGAAGCCAGAAAAGTGCCGCTTTGCATACAAGGAGCTGTTCTTCCTGGGACACGTGATTAGTAAGTCTGGAGTCCGTCCTGACCCATAACAAACAGCTGCCATTGCCGATTTCCCGCAGCCCACTGACAAGAAGGCTGTACGCCGATTCCTCCGATTGTGAGCCTATTACAGGCGTTTCGTCCAGCGGTTTTCACAGATCACCGAGCCGCTAACTCACCTCACAAAAAGCAACGTCGAGTTCAGGTGGGAAGCTGCACAAGAGGAAGCATGGAAAAATGGCCCCAAACACTGCCGATACTTGCGAATTTCGACGAATACGCCAAAACAGAAGTACACACAGACGCAAGCAGAGTAGGACTCAGCGCCGTCTTTGTGCAAAGGACTCATGACATGGAAAGGGTCATCAGTTATGCCAGTCGGTCGCTATCCAAGGCCAAAGCCAACTATTCCGCAGCAGAAAAGGAGAGCCATATTATCTTCTGGGCAGCGTCAAAGTTTAGCTTCTACCTCTATGGCAGGCCTTTCAGTTGTGAGTAACCACCATGCCTTGTGTTGGCTAGCTAACTTGAAAGACCCTTCGGGTTGCCTCACATGGTGGAGCCTCAGACTTCAAGAATTCGACGTGACTGTTGCTTACAAGTTTGGAAGAAAACACTCCGACGTCGACTGCTTGTCTCGTGCCCCTGTCGAACCATTGTCACCCGACAGCCTGTATGAGGACAGCTTCTTAGGAATGATAACTGCCGACGACTTCGCCGAGCAACAACGAGAGGACCCGGAGCTCAAGAGCCTTGCAGAATACCTTGAGGGTAACAGCAAGACTGTTCCGAATATTTTCAAGAGAGGACTGGAGTCATTCTTCTTGCAAAACTGAGTTTTCTTAAAGAAGAACTTCTCGTCCCTTTGAGCCGACCACGTTCAAAGACCAGAAGTACTCGAGGCCGTACTCGAGGCCCTATACGACGACCCAACGGCTGGACACCTCGGTGTTTCCCGTACGCTAGCAAGAATACAGGAAAAGTACTACTCGCCACGACTTGCCGCCACCGTCACTCATTACGTCAGGACCTGCGGCGACTGTCAGCGATGAAAGACAATGCTGGCTAGGCGCCAGTCGGACTTCTCCAGCCCATTGAGCCACCTCACCGGCCGTTCCAGCAAATCGGCATGGACGTACTGGGGCTGTTCGTGACGTCGAATTCCGAGAACAAATGGATCGTCATAGCTACTGACTACTTCACACGCTACTCCGAGACAAAAGCTCTGCCGAAAGAAAGTGCCTCCGAGGTAGCAAGGGTGTTCATCGAGAACATCGTCCTGCGTCACAGAGCTCCACAGGTCCTCCTTTCTGACAGAGGTACGGCTTTTACGGTGGACTTAACTCAGGTCATCCTGAGGTACAGCCAGACAAGTCGCCGCCGGACCACCACCTACTATTCACAGACCAACGGCCTCACCGAACGTCTTGGACGTGGGATGCAATACTTCCAAACGTGACCTCCACGTACAACACTGCCGTGCAAGAAGCAATGCAAATGATGCCATACAAATTGGTGTATGGAAGGAGCCCACCCACAACCCTTGACGCCATGTTCCCCAACGAGCCATACAGGGTAGTACGTCGTCTCTGCCCACTCGACTACGAGCTAGTCCTCGACGGCATTGCGAACTCTTAACGGCGCCGATCGTGAACTGAAGTCGTCCATGTTGGGCGCCTCAAGCAGTTTCATGAAGGTAACGAACTTCAAGAGTGTATTTTTTTGTTGCTGTATCATACTTTATTATTTATACTTTCTTACATTATTACTGTACTTTCATCTTCTGTTGAAGCATCGGGACAATGCTTTATTCAGGTTGGGGCAATGCCAGGTTCATTCCTCAAGCTTTTACGCCCCATTACGCTGTATACAATTCTCAGTAAACCGCGCCTACAGTGTTCGGGAAGCTTCAGGACTGCAGCAGATCACTTTGTTAAGATTACGCCCACTCTGCGAGCATTTCAGATTATTCTGGAACTTAGGTCACCACTGGCGATAACGCTAGAATGTTCGATGGCAAGCGTATAAATACCGACATGCTTTGCTGCTTGTCAATCGACGGCCCGACGCTCCGTTCCCCGCTATCAGTGCCAGCGGGCATCGCTGTAATCTGGCGTTTAGTCACGCGCCACAAGTTCGGCTGAATGAATAGTTTCATCTCGTAATCACAGTCTGCTTCCTTTGTCTACGTCATGACCCCGTGACAATATGAACGAAGTTATTTAAACAAGGCTATTTAAGCTCGTCTTGCCTTTATGCAGCATATCAATTCATTCTTCTGATTTGGATGAAAAAATTTACCATTTCACCAATCTCAATTGCATTCCTTCACAATGGTGCACAATGCTTTAGCCTTCAACTTGCTTGACAAGCACTGCCTTTCAGACAAAATGGCACCACATACTGCTCCTCCTCCTCTTACAATTACAATATGATTGAGCTCTAGATGAAATCCTGCAGCGCTGCAACATACACATCTTCATTAAATTCAATGCATCAGTGCGGAACGTAACCCTGTCATATTTGTACATTAAATTATATAAATAGTTTTATTGTAGAACTGATGCTATAAATCTTTTCATCATATATTGTTCAAATGGGTATGCAACGCTTGTTTTTTTTTTTTTTGATACTTTATCAAATCCATACATCAGTATGAATTTGTTTCACCCATTCTCAGCATGATTAGACATAGGAAGAGAGCAAGAGCTCCTGGAAGGACATGTCAAAGGGCAGCACATGTTTACAGTTAACGAGGATCATAAATCACCATGTTTAGGATAATGCCTGCTTAAGCTAGTTTCACTAAATTTAACTATATCGGTCACTTCCAATTTGCCTATAGAGCAATTCCCCTCACCTCCTGAAAAAACTTGCAAGTGTGGCTTGAGCTCAGCAGCACACAAATGAACAGGAAATGAAATGGACAATTTCAAGACACAAGCGCACTGAAACCACACAGTACGACAACTGAAAAGCATTTCACCTACATTAAAATGTGATTGCTGCAACAAGAATAGAACCTGCCTTTTTGGATCAGCAGCCAAGTGTCATAACCACTGGGACACCCTCAGGGAGCATCAAGCTGCATTCAGCCAGCTAGTGCACATACACAGTGGGCCACTGAGTCCTCTTGCTGACATCAAAGGTTAGCAGTCAAAGTTAGTAGTCTATTCAAGGGAATTAGATGTGCAGCACCTATTATACAACACACTGTAAACGATGCATAAGAACTTGGTTTTCTAGAATAGTATTAGAAAAAAAACTAGTTCCTAAATATTTTTTTTTATAGAAACATAGCAATAAACTTGAGAGCCCCTGAAGTACAGTCTAAGATAATATAAGTAACGATCCTATGCCATTTCAATTTCCAGAACAGAAGAAAAAAACATTCTCAGAGCAGTAAAACAATAATGCAAAGCAGGGAAATATACGTACATACATATTTCTTAAAGAACCAAAGACAAATTTGCGGCAGAAGTCCAATAGGAAAAATTGTAAAACTATTCAGGTGGGCTGAGTAGTAAAACAATAATGCAAAGCAGGGGAATATACGTACATACATATTTCCTAAAGAAGCAAAGACAAATTTGCGGCAGACGTCCAATGGGAAAACCGGTAAAACTATTCAGGCGGCTTGAGATCTCTGTCAAAAAAAAAAAAAAAAACACTATTTTCGAATTTAGCCATCACCTGACAGAGAACGAGAGAAAAGCAATTTTTGGTCCTTTTCTTTTGACACATTCGACAAAAAGCGTGTGCATAACCCTACGTAATTTCTGGGTTTTTCTCTGAACACCACCTTTTGGAATTCGTGTACCTTTTTCTCAGAAACTATCAGACATAAGCAAACAAAATTTTTCTCATGTGATGTCAAAATTGTCCGCAGCATTGACTCAAACCAACCGTTTTTTTTTTATCAGAAGTAAATTATTTTTTTTTTCATTAAAAGTCGCAAAAAATGACTTCTGATGAGTCTGGCATCAAAAAAAAATGTTTCAATGTACCTGACCACAAAACCATTGATTGCTATACACGGTCGATTTTTTTTTGTTAGTATTGAAATACTGTTTATATTAAGACTCCATAAAAATGTACATATGGGCCTGTATTAGTAGTATGCATTGAAGTGGCACTGCCTTTGCATGATGTAATGATCCCACTCATCAGAGCCTTTTAAGCAACTTTCCAGTGTGCTCATGTAACCATGCATGCAGTTTACAGGTCATTAAGGTTTTGGAGCAACTTAGTTTAGCTACCTACACTTCGTCTCGGAAGTGACGCATCCTGCAACTCCCTGCAGACGTGCATATGGGTAGCGACGTTTTTGGCGACTTTGCATAACTCGTGTATCAAGAGAGTAAGGACGCTGGGACAAGCCACCTATGACGCAGGCACGGGGAACCTTGTCTGCACGCACACACAACACAGTACAAATACAGAAAAAGTGTATAATGCTAGACTATTTCATTTTCAAAATAGTTGGAATGCTAAAAATAAAGGTGGTTAAGCATAGTTAGAAAAATTCCTGAGAAAGCAGAACGACGACAGCTTTTACAAATCGTGACATGGGCTTGCAGTATCGCTATCAATTCCCAGCGCTGCTGGAGGAAAGGAACATGTGTGTTTTAGATCTTTTGAGATAGAAAAATACCGCTAGTTAAGTAACTACATGTTTTTGAGATTAACTACTGCAATTACAAACACTACAAAGGGTGAGCATTCTCTTGCACCATACAAAACTGTAAAAAAAATCAGTTGCGAATCCCATTAATTAGTGGGATTTAGATAACTGGTACTAAAATCAGTAGTGTAGGTACATTTGCATTTTTTAGTACAAAAACAAACAATCATAAGTGGTTGTTTTCATATATCAGCAAATTAAAAATGAGAAATCCAGTTTTTGCAGCACACTCGCAATTTCAGTTTCAGTTCAGTAAAGCATTATTAGCCACCTCTTTTGCAAAATTGTAATTTCTGCAGACAGACCTTACAAAAAAGTACATATGTAGAGGAACAAAAAAAAAAAAAACTAACCACAAATTAAACTAGTTTTGAGCTCTAATGCAACCTGCATCGACCTTTGAAATACCTAACAAAGTTTACAGGCATAACTTTTATTACCACTGCGGTAAAGCCAAACTATGTCACCCCACCTAAAATAACACTAACGGCAAATGTAGCATTCCTAATGGTCAAATGATTAGAAAAAAAATCTAAAAGAAGCATCAAAACGATTGGCCCAGCCAAGGGAGGGAAGGGTTTCGATAGGGGTATTATTCAAACCACCTTTAAATAAAATCCTAGCAATGCCGCTGGTGGCATTGAAACTAGATTATGGTCCAGCCAAGATGGTTTGTTGAAACCATAGCCATAGGCAAGGTATGGGTGGCAACTCACACCGCTACCTGCAAAATAACATGCTAGCTTTAAGTACTAAGAGGGAAAAGAACAATGACAACTGGACATGGTACATCCTCTAGACCAAATCTGTTCATTTTCACTTTCAGTGTTTTTCCTGGCTGCATTATTCTTGCGTTCAGTGCCTCACATGACTCCTTGACAAAGTGCTTTCGGAACCGAGTAATCAAACCAAACATAGTTTATTTGCAGGAAAAAAAAAGTACAGAATTTCCCTACGGGGCGCAAAGACTAAAGGCAAAAGCCTGACGAGGTCTCGCCCCCTATTAACCAAAAAGCAGTCTGCATCAGTGACATATACATTTGCACATCAGCAACACACAACTAAATACATCAGTTACATATTTCCCACGTATTTACATATTTCATTGGTAGAAGATACTGGCACGCCATAATATATTTGTTTTATATATTCAAAATAATCATTTAGAACATGCATTTTTGGCATATACAAACAAAAACACACATTTTAAAATATGCTTCGTTCCACAAAATATACATTCAGAATACACTCAGCACTGTGAAAAAAAATTGTTAGAAGAAATCCCATTTTAGAATCACAGTGAACATTCATAAAAATAAACAAAAACAAAGCATACAATTACTCTTACGTCAAATGACTATCGTCTACAATGACGTCAGCTGAGAAAAGAAGTGATTTAAGATGAGACTTAAATGGTTTAGATTTCAGTGTAAAGTATATATTTGACTTGTGAAGGTTTAGCAACTGAATAACTTTGTACTCAATGTCCTGCTTTCAATAATTCGTGCATATTTTCTTAGTTTTGCCGGAAAAATTTCTGAAGCCGTATTAAGTTGATATAGTTTGTGGGTGAAAATCCTGTAGTTTATGTTTATGAATATGTTGCATCATCTTAAAATTATAAACTTGTCTAACAGGCAGATTTTCGTGTTTGAGAAAGAGCGGTTCAGTGTCTAGGTTCATAGGATGACCTTTATATTTTTCTATGATACAAAACACTCGCTTCTGTAAAACTATTAATCTATCATAATTGCTCTTAATTGTTGTTCCCAATACCAACATTCTATATAAAAGTTTGGAGTAGAACAAGTTATAATACAGCGATTTTAATAACCATGTAGGGAGGAGGAAAGATTTTACTCAAGCACCCTACCGAATGAGCTAGATATGTTAAGAGACAATAATCCCATAAATAGAAATTGCAGCTTCATTCGCAGATGTTTTGGCAAAGAATCGCTTAGTTTTGACATTACACTTATTGAATTCACAAACACACGATCATCATGTATGATTATGTTGATGGCAACCAGCGCTGGCCAGCACCAAATATATCCTCACATTTTAGGTATCTTGTATCATGATGCTGTCAGCAGAAGGGCTATCAGAATCTTTTCTGATGAATCCTATACAGTACCATGAATATTATTTTACAAGATACTCCTTTGACACAAATTATTTAGGGGCAGTTCAAGTTCAAAATTCGGGGCAGTTCAAGTTTATTACAGAGGACCACACATTCAGAATCTTTTTCTTTCATGCATCAATAAGTAAAACAGATGTCCTAGGCCAAATGTAACAATATATATGAATTTTCAAATAATAATTTTCAATTACACTTGTATGTTGTGTTGTATGTTGAAACTTCATAATGACCAAACTCGCTAGTGTACATAACAAGCACTCTTGCTTTTTTTATGCTTCTAAAAAGAAGCTTGCAACACATGTGATGCAATGTATCGCTCATCTGGCCGGCAGGTCTGCATAAAATGTATGGCACAGCTACACTTCAAAATACATATCTTTGCCAATTTGAATACCTAGACTGAACTTGCACGTTTTCTCTCCAATACTCCATAACACTATTTTAAATGCACAACAGGTGCCAAAAAAAAAAAGCAATGTTTTATGAAATTTATTCATTTGAACTTCCCATTTTGTATGCACCTGTATTTTATTTATATATTATGTTGTGTAAATATTGCTCATGTACAAAGTGCCTAGTTGATGTTGCTCTTATTTTTTTTTATTGCTGATTGGTGAGCGCTGCCATCAATAGAGCAAGCTACTTATACGACTGGACAATCAGTTACTGATGACGTAAACAACATAAAACAATTGGAATATGCCAGCAGTAATAAAAAATTTATGGCAAATGTGGCTTCTCCAGAGTGGTGCCGCCTCACTGCGAAGGAAGCCTCTAGGTCTTCCCCACTGTGAGCACTAATCAGTCATCAAATGAAGAATATTACCACTACTGCCCTGATCCTGCATTAAATAGTATGAAACTGTGATGCTATCATCACAATGAATAAGGATGGCAGTGGCAGGGCGGTTTAGTCAGAAATGGCTTGGATTGGCATTTGCACCACAATTCGAGTAGTCTTTCTGATAGTGAGATAAGTAGTATTCAAAAAATTTATTTATTTTTTACACATACAGAGCATACATTTCTGCACCTATTGCCATATTATGGTGAAATGTTGCAAAATTAAGCAGTGTGCACATTCTTGCACAGCTTGACATGACAGAAGTGGTGCTAAGATATAAGCAATAAACATATTTGAAGTAACTTTGACCATGCACTGAAACATGCTTAGGAAACGTAAAGCTACTGAATACTGAAGCCTTCTGTCAAACAAGCGATACGACAAAAACACATATGGAACGCATTCCAGAAGGGTAACTTGTGCAACTATAATATATGCCAGTATTGGAGGTCAGATGCACATTAATTCCGCAGAGTTGCACAAGCACCACAGCTACAATACAATATTTAGCTATAAGAGACAAATTTTGAACAATTTTTTTGAGCACCAGTGCCAGCAAGTGTCACCAAATACAAGGCAACCAAAATGCAACATTCACTCAAAGCCAAAAGTCTGCCTATGCTGACAACCAAAGAGTTTGTCAAAGCATGAAAGCTCACAACAATAGAAAAACTCTGCTAAAAATCTGCCATAAATGAGTGATACAGCCCTCAATGCAAAAGAAAATATTAGCCACAAGGCCACAAGGCTGTGAAAAAAAAAAAAAGGCTACAAGCAGGGGCTGCAGGCATTCACTAAGGTTTGAGCACTTAATATTGTACGTTAAGAACGGGAGGAGGGCACAATCCACCGCTACAGCATGTCTCATAATCGTACAGTGGTTTTGACCCATGAAACTTCATAAATACATTATGAACAGTATTATGCAGTACATTTGAATGTTTAAGATGAATAACTAATAATTAGTACATGCACTTCAGGCCTAAATTTTCTTCTGTAAAAATACATGTTGACCAATGTCAATATGAATAAGTTTAGTTACAATCAAATTATGATTAATCATCAAAAGGGCTTAATATATCCACACACTATCACCTAGTCTTTCTTTGGATACAATATCGAGAGCTTTGGAATAATTTGACAGTTACAGAATTTGAGTCACTATTTGTGCCCCTGAAGGAGATATGCCTAAAATCCCAAATGAAAATTTCCCGGAGCAAATTAATTCTACTCCAGCACATTGGCTACCATTTAAAACTACAATGAACAAGAGAGGATATATGTATGACCCAACAACATTAGCAACCAAAACTACCCAAAATAATGTATCTAATTCCTCAAGCATATGAGCAGAAAGTATTACCCAGGCAGACAAGACAGGGTCTAAACACTACAAAAATGTTACACTAATAACCAAAATGTCAGCTACATTGGCACCTGCAGATGGCATGGCGATTGCCACTACAACCCTAGCGGCATCAATGAAAACAGCATCATTCAGTACGACTTAACCAGAGGTCGTTGCTATGATGATCAAATACCCAGAACGAAAAGGATACCAGCCCTCGTAATCACCGACTCCGAATCTGCTTGCCACGCAGCTTGGGGCACGGTGGAGAGCCGCGCTGGTCAGCTCAGATGGGACAGATCAAATATGGGCCATCCAGCGAGCACGGGAGGCGGGTGAGAGACAGGGTCTCTCCATCGTCCCTGGC